GTGTGGCAGTTGAATTTTATGTGATAGTTTGCATCCTGGAGATGGCAAGATCTTCAAGAAAGACAAATTTATTTCCTTTTTTCCTTTTAAAGTTATGATTTTTAGCTCAGAGTTTCCAAAATTACTGTATGGGGCGACAAGGAAGCTTTTTCTCACTGAAGAGAAATATTCTGTTTTAACAATGTGGAAATATCTTTTAGGGCATTACTATGTTGAAGCGATTTTTAAAAATGTTATTTATTAGTTCTAATCAGATCAGTAGAAAGCTCTTCCATTTATTGTACACAAATGAAGAATTTTTCACTTCTCTGGCTGTGCATGAAGTAAAGTCACATCATCCGCTTTGCCCTATCCGAAGTTGTTAAAGCAATTTTTAAGAGATACTGGGCCAGGCACTATGGCGCATGTCTGTAATCCCCATGGCTTAGGAAGCTGAAGCAGAAGGATTGCCAGTTCAAAGCCAGCCTCAGCAAAAGTGAGGTGCTAAGTGACCCAGTGAGACCCTGCCTCTAAATAAAAAACAAAATAGGGCTGGGATGTGGCTCAGTGGTTGAGTGCCCCGGAGTTTGATTTCTGGTACCCCCCCCCAAAAAAAAGAGAGATACTGTAATTAAATACTAATTAAATTAAATGCTATCGAGTACTGCAAAATGACACAATAGTGCATTAGAACATGAAAGAGACATCCATATGAAATTGAAAATCCTAATCTATGTTTAATAACTAAATTTAGGATTTCAAGATAATCTTAAAAAATATTTCATATGTCCTAATAAATAATAAGAATAATGTGCTTTCTAAGTTGTCATTTTTGATTGAGCGTTGGTGTTTAACCCCAAGGGAAGTTATCCCTCCTGATTCACTTTTACTGGGCAAGTCTGTTGACGAAGGACCCACTCTGGTAGAAGGTTGGACTGAGGAACTTCACACTACAGTGGCAGACTGGAGAACTTGGAATTTCAACAAAATGTTCTCAGTGTATTTTAGAATTTCTAAAATTTTCTGTTATAACCCATTAATTAGCAATTTATAAATTTAGTCATGCACTAAGTAAAAAAATTATTTCATTACTTACATGTATTGGGATTGAACGAACATACTGGTTCTGAAGAATGAGAACATACATAGGATTTCCTTCTGGAATGTATGTTTATAGATATTGATATTTGTAATATGCTAGGAAGCAGCATAAATGACAAGCATTTTTATAGTTGYTACAGCCGCATGCTTATTATTGAATGCTAACAATTTTTAAAGTTTGTTTATGAAATTTTGTCTTTGATATGTTAAGCTTTTATGAAAGGTTATATTTCTCACAAGAGTAGTATTTCAAATTATTTTTAAATATATATTTTTAACAAAATTATTTACAAAAACAGATGCCAAATATGCATTTAGATTACAGCCTTTTTTAAAAAAAGGTTTCTATTTTAAAAGGTTCTATTCTTTTGTATATTTTGTATAAATTTAAACATTCTTTTTTGTTACACTTAAACAGTTTAAGAAAGATACAGAAAGAAACCATTATTTTTCTTTTTTTAGAGCAAATAAATTACAGACACCAATTAAAGCATTTTATAATGAAAGAACCCACTTTTCATTGGTTCTTTCATTTTCTATATTGTTGCAAAGTGCCCACATCAATAAATTATTTCCTTGAATGTTTTGCTTTGTGTTTGGGTGAACTAAACTAAAATATTTTTATTGTAGTGGTAGTTTATTAAAACTCTGTGATACAATATGGTGATGGAATATTCTGTTCCAATTGGATCAAGTGAGATCAAATAACAAACTGTAATTTCAGTTTTTAAAACTTGCTAAATGTAGCCAGACATAATTGGGCAAGCCTATAATCTCAGTGACTTGAGAGGCTGAAGCAGGAGGATTACAAGTTGAAAGCCCGCCTCAGCAACTGGCTGAATTTGTAAGAATTCAATATACTCACTGACAGTATGTTTCTCCATAAAAATACAGGATGTTTTTCTGATGCTATATAATAGTCATTAGATAATAATTTAGCCCACTTTCCAAACCAAATAAGTTATAAGTAGATTCAACTGACATGCAACTGGGTCAACAATAATGCAAAGAAGAAAATGAGCAATGTTTCTAAACTGGAATAGGGTAGCAATGCCAATGTGATTTATAGATGCACCCTGATAAGTTACTGGAATTTATTGAAAGGCACAGATACTTAGACTTCAACTCATTGGTACATATTTAGCAGCAATTCAAAACGCTGCATGAATAAAATGAAAGTATTTGAGACCTAGTAAAACTGTTATTCTTATTTGAAATTCAAGGAAGCAAACCCTCAGAAAATTGAAGTGCATTAAAAAAAAATGCAACCTAAAGTGGAAAAAAAAAAGTGTTTGATTTTTAGACACAAACTTTGCCTAAAGAGCTTAAACCTCTCTGGATTTAGCTATCAACAAAATAAACAAAGCATTAAGAACTGGGCTACACAAATGGTATGGATTTAAAAAATGTATTTACTTGAGGTCTAATGCTCCAGTGAGATATACAGAGAAAAGATGGAAGTTGAGACTTCAAAATTATCCCAGTTGTGATGACTTGAACACATTTATGAGAACTTTTGCTTAGGTACTATATAAATAAACATTGTATCTACAAGTATATTGTTTAGATTAAGAGAAATAAAATACATTCCTTTGTTATATGAGAAAATACTTGACAGTTTAATGTAATGGTGACAGATTCAAGACAAAGCTAGGCCTCATCTCTTTTGTTTTCATTAAAAAAAAAATAGGAAACTTTGCCAGTCAACTGTGTGTGCTAATCTCACCTGTAGCATTGTTTAGCCACAAGTTACTCCATCTATAGTATTCTTTGAATAAAYACAGGCTTCATATTTTAATACTATTTTGTGGAAGTCTCATTGCTAATTGATAAGGAGATGTTGGAACCCCAGGTTGAGTACTCTAACACTAGGTGAGTGAGGTAGGTGAAATGCAACATAAGTTTCTGTTTGAATTGTGTTTAAGCACAGAGGGGTCAACAGATAAGACAGCATCTCCAAGCCATTCATTTGTGTTATTCCAAACTCGAGCTAAATGTGGTGGGTTGAACTAGAGAAAAAACTGTGGCACAAAGACTAGATGGAAGATGGCTATAGGAACACTGCCCAGTATTTTGGCTACAGCTGAGTAAAGATAAGTGAGGTCAATATTAATAGGAACAATAAGGAGAGTGTGGGTGGGGTAGGAGGTACAATATATGACATATAACATCACCTGCCTGGGATGAGTATATGGACTATAAGAAGTGATAAACCACAATCCATGAAAAAAATAAATGAGTACATCATTTTGACTCAAAGTAGTGGGCTGTTTTACTTTTCTTTTTGAACCATGTGCTCTATTTATTTAGAATACTAATTTCCAGATTATTTTTTTAAAAAGCACTTTTTACACTTCTCTTTCATACTCCTATTTTCTCTACCCAGACTTCCCTTCTCTCTTTCTCTATCTAGGCAAATCTGACTTATATCTCAATTCACAGTTTAGATATCACCTTTTGTCTGAAGTGCTCCGTGATCTCCCTTCTCATACTAATGCCTCCCTCCTCTTTGAACTCATAGTGTGCTTATCATGAACTTCAAGTGGGAACCCTACCACCTTGTATGTAACATAGTTCTTTCCACCAGTGATGCACTGAGCTCCTTCCTGTATTTGCCATCATGCTAGGCTCTGGGGAAGAACTGAACTGGATACAAACCCTGTTCCCTATTCTCAGGGATCTCACAGTCTGAAAAGGGATTCAAGAATGTGAAAAAAAAAATCACACTCATGTGACAAGTGAGTTAATAAAAGAAACATACCAGGCACAGATTTAGAACAGAGAAGGTGGTTAATGTGTTCTAGGGACAGGAAGATCAGAATAAGCTTGCCAGATACAATGGTGGTAATTCATCTCACAGTGAGCTCTTGGAGGATAGGGTTCCTATTTCATGCAGTACCCACATTACCTAATAGGCCACCAGCACAGAATTGGTAGTCAAGCTCTCAGTGACACCTGAGCAGGTAGAAATCTGGTTCCAAAGGACAAAGTGTCTAGAAGTCCATTTTCTTCATATTCAAATTCATCTTTTTGTTGTTATTGTACTGTTTGATTTGATTTGGTACCTTTCCCTCTGACTGTGATTTGCCTGTATGTTTGAAATGGTGTTTTCTTTGGTTAGGTTGATTATGAAAATGGTCTTACTACATGAATCCCATTTTTGCATCTTTCTTCTCTATTTCATTTTGGGGTCCTCTTAACCTACTAACTTAAAAATATATATATATTTCTATAATTAACTAGTATAAAGAAATTGTTAGAAATCAAACTAATAGGATTTTGCAAGTGCTTTGAAATATAATGCTTTCCTCTTTATGGAAATGTTTTCTAAACATTGACATTGATTTTAAATAATTATTAAGATAAATTAAAATGAAAACACAGTGTCTTTGGCATTGGACCAGTTTATATCTAACATGTGATTATACAAAAAGGTGATGTTGAATCCTACTTATTAGTGAGTGTGTCTTTGAAGTCATGGAACTGGATAGATGTGGACTAAATGGAAATTGTGCTTAAAAAAATGAATTTGTAAGCCAAAGATATCCAAATGTTATACTGATTCCTTCCATATTAATAAAATGCTTGCCTATGAATTTCAGAATAGGCAATATCAATAACAATCACCTGCCATCTTTATAGATCTGGAATGAAACCAAATTGATGATGGTAATGACACATTGTAGAATTTCATTCCCATATTTTTTTTAAGTATGACATCAAAAAAAAACAATATTTAATTTAAAGGTCATAAAAGTTCACATCATCATCATAAATATAGAATCTAGTTTACATATGACTACAATGAAGAAATCTGTTAACTAATTATGTAGCAACCTAACTCTGGTTTTAGAATTTCCTAAGCTTATGTTCCTTWACACCATATGTTACAGGGAACAGTAAAGACATCTGAATTCAAATATTTTGAAGAAATGTGTATTTAGCAACTGAATACATGCTAAAAGGAATAATTTACAGCAGCAGTTTCATTACATTTTTTTCTCTCCAGTTTTCTAGTTCCCATCTGAAATGCAATGATAAATACAGATATGGAACATATTTACTACCTGGCAAAAAGCATGCTTGTTGAATGGGCACAAACCTTCTGCCCTTAAATATAAGTACATAAACCACCTTGTCACCTGTGTGGGAAAATCTTGCATTTTAAGGTGATGTTCGACACATTGAAATGGAGTACCTATAGAAAGTTGTATTTTACACTGTTCTTCCTCTTTGAAATTATTTACATCTCTTTTGCCTAATGTGTAGGTAGCAAAAATATTAAACACATACCATTAAAAATCACTAAATAATACATAAAAAGAAGCAATAAGTGTGCATCTACATGCATTTACATTTTACATTTTATTTCAATGGGGCCTTAATTTTTCTGCTGTGATGCATCTTTTTTTTATACTGTAAGGTTGCTGTTATAATTTCCCTAAGGTCACATGAGTCTCTTAACCAAGTTTCATCTCTGATGATACATGCATATGCCAAAGTCTATTAAAGCTGAATTATTAAATGGGACATTAATTCTACTTCGTGCAAACTGCCCCTTCTCAATACACATCAGCAGAAAATGATGACTGTAATGAGTTAATTATCTGCAAGTTATACATATAATTGTATTCAAAAATTTAGATCTGATGGTTTATAAAGTCATGCCAGTAGATTTTTTTTTGATGCTTCTAATTGAAATCTAGACTTTTTTCTATTGATATTTCATAATGCTAACCAGAATGCATTCAGGTTTTGGAAGGCATCCATAAGTTACCATACAATATCCATCCCTTCAAATCCTTTATTTTTAAACACTAAGAAGAAATAAGATACTTCTGTTATTGTGAATAAATTTGTTTCAGCTGCAAATTTAGAACAAAATGCTACAACTAAATTTTAGTACCTTTAAGATACTCTACCAAAATATGACCTATTTTGGAGCACTCTTTGTTCTTTGACTTATATTTCAAACACTTTTTTTCTGTACAGGAGTGTATTCTTCAAACGGATTAACAATCCAGTTTCCATTTGAGGATGCACATCCAAAAGCAACACCATTTAAGTCAATGGAGCCTAAAATTGGATGTAGAATACTTTTAGGCTTTTATTTGAACAAGTGTCAACAAATTATTTATTCAAATAATCATTAAAACTGAAACATGAGCTTCCATCTGGGAAATATTTCAGCTGATGGGGAGTAACAATGCACTGCAGTCTGAGGTGAGAAATTAGTGCTGTTAATTAGAATCCCAAGACAACTGGAGTTAAAACTTCAATGTCACTTCATTAATTAGTAGTAAGATATTTCTTCCTTTACATTTTTTGTGTGACAAGGACCTAGGGGAGTGAGGTGCTAAAAGAACAGTATTATAATGCTGAAAGTCTTGGGCATATTGAAGTCCATGATTCTTAAGGAATCATCTTGGGACAACAAAGTAGGCAAATCCTTAATTAAAAATCGTTTGCCTTATTTTGTGAGGAAACAAAGAGTTTCACATTTTCTTAAGTGTGGGTTGTATTCTGGAAAATAGTTTAAGTCATTCCCATTGACCTGAGAAGAATGATGTGTTCTTCATACAGATAATTGTATTTAAAAAAAGTGAGATAAGAGACAGCTGATTTAGACCAAAACAGTTGGGAATTTGTCTTTAGAAAGTTATTCTGGATACTATTGGTCTCTCTTTTCATGAATCATTAAGTGGCTTATACAATTCTTAGTGGAATCATGAGAGAAATTTTATGTCTAAAATATCATGCTGAGATTCAAGCACAGAATTAAGAGCATTTTCTATTAACACTATATTAAGAAAAAGCTTATTTTCATGAGCTGTACAGTTCATTTTCTCTTCGTTGATCCTTTAGATATAATAAAATGCATTTAACAAATCATGTTGTTTTTTTCCCTTTGTTTTGGCTGGTTAAATGCTCTGTTTTTTTGTAAAACATTATGCAAGTTAGAATTAATTTAAATAATACTTTAAAAGGAGGAGGTGTCAATAGCTTCCATTTGTTTGATTTCCTCTGAGAAATAAGGCATAATTTACATCCTGTTTTGGACATTAACAGTTAATGATGTATATGTTTCTAGAGTAACATCAGCTATCCCTGCTAGAACTGAAAACAAAATGTTAAAAAAAAAAAAAACAAGCAGCACACAAATGGAATTTTTAAAACAAACTATATAGCATAATAATTGTAAGACAAAAACCTACTCTAGCTTAGAAAACAGCTAATTTTTACTGCTTATTTGTCATGGTACATTTAAATTATAGTTTTAATAAAATACATCTTTAGATCAAAGCTGAAAGAAGACATCAGTAGTAGATCAGTGTATTCCATTTTTTCTTCTGGATGATGGATGGCTTATGTTTTTTTATATTTCCACAGAACATTTCATTCAGTATCATTTTACTTATTTCACTCCTCCAGTACATACAAACACGAGTGCTGGTAGACAAAAAGTATCCTTGAATCCAACCACATTTTGGAATATTCATCAGCTTAGTAAATCCATGCAGTTTATTTTAAACTTTCAGTTCAATCAAATGGCTTTGCTGATGCAGTTTTTCTCCTTTCGATGGCAATATGGCAAATGATGTTTTTATTTCTCAGGCAAGGAAGAAAGCGAAACCTGTACAATGAAATCTCATAGGAAACATAAAGTCTGCTAAAGTGAACATCTGTGCTCACCTGTGATCTCTGTTAGGTGTTGGTATTAGGAAGAAAGCCTGTTAGGAAAGTTATTCATGGACTTAATTTATAATTGGTGGAACTCAGTTGAATTTCCCACCATTGTAAACATCCACATAATGCCATGAAAAAAGTTCATATTGCATTTTTTTCCAGTTATTGTCTAGGCAAGGTTCTACTTGAGGTTTTTAGAGGTAATGCAGCTCAGACACTCCTGGGTGCCCTCTCAAATTCGTGGGTCCTCCTGTTTCTACCTTTCTTATTTTCTTGTAAGTGCTTCCATTTATTACTGTTCCCTTGAGTATGTCCTGGCCTTTGCCGACGTTGTTTTCGGTCCCTTTTCCAAACTTGTTCACAGAATTCATCCATTGTGTTCAGGTTGGGGTGGTTGATGAGCTGCATGAAGTCTCTGTACCACACCTTCTGGCTAGGTGTCATGCTGTTGGACATTTCTTTGGTCTTGGAGCCATCTCCATCCTCATCCTTATGAAGAAGTTCTTCTAGATGCTCTGTGTCAATGACTTCCAGGGTCACTTTAAGGAGAGTTTGCATGAATCCGTGCTCCACAGCATGACACAGGTAATTTCCAGAATCCTTCCTCTGTAGACTACGGAGCAGAAGCCCTTGTTCTGTCCTGATGATATGATCATCCACCCTGATCTGGGGGAGGGGAGCATAATAGAATAATTATATATGTGTACTAAATATAAGATCTAAAAAAGCGCCAGTAAAAATKTGCATTGTTTGTTGAGATACCTTTTAGCATTTAACAAAATACTTTGTGCCACTGTTGAAATAAAACTTCTCATCATAATAATTTAATATGTTGAAAAAAACTTGAGGAAAGAATAAAGATATATCTTATTTTATAAAGTTGAAAGTGGGTATATACATATAACACATACTTTAGATTGAATACTGAAATTGAAACAATACAATCATGATACTAGGACACAAAAGAGTATTAAGTGATTTGAAAAAAAATGAAATAAAAAAATCAGCAGTTGAATAGGCAGAAGAAATAAATTTGAGATTTATCAACAAATGGGACTTACTTAAACTAAAAAGTTTTTTCTCAGCAAGAGAAACAATAAGAGAGGTAAATAGGGAGCCTACATCCTGGGAACAAATTTTTACCCCTCACACTTCAGATAGAGCCTTAATATCCAGA